TTTTTTTTATATATTAGAATGAGTACATTACGATATAAATTTATTAGAATGAGTACATTATTATTTATGGGCTTAAAAACCAGATGCAAACAATCAGAATATTGTACCTGGTGGGGAGTGCCCAATGTAAACATGAAACATATGCCATTACCTATATTGTACTGTGGTAGAGTTATGGAGGCCCTTCATAATGCAGAGGTCAACTGCCTGCTCTGCCAATAGTTAGAAATGGCACTATAGTAAGCAGTGTTTAATAAACAGCTGTTTTTCTAAATTCTGCTGAGGTGAAATTCAGTGCAGTCCTGTATCGTGATACGTATCGTATCGTGGCCTCTGTATCGTGATACGTATCGTATTGTGACTTTGCTGGTGATTCACAGCCCTAGTATTCGGTATGAACCTGTATACCGCCCAGCACTAATAAGTGGTAAATAAATTTTGTGACTTGTGATTGTTTGACACTAAGACTTCTTACCGATTTTGTTACCATGGTAACTGAAGTCACATGAATAGGGTTTTTTATACTGACTCACTGTCCAAACACTCCCACACCTTCCTTAATTTTTAACAACTTTTTAAAGACCGTATTTAATCAGGGAACTGTTTTTCAGCACCGTTGGTGGAATGTGTTGTTCAGTATGTCTAACACGCATGAGTCACACCCACAGTGTCTAAAGAAAGATCTAATAAGGGAGTCTTTGCAAGAACACCACATGGTCTGCAAGTCGGTGAGCCATGGCTTTGTCATGCGCCACACACGCAGCGTCTCAGGCTGCCATGTGGACAGACGGTCGGCACAGTTGTGCCTTAGTGTGCAGCTGCTTTGCTCAATGGGACACATACCCCTTTTCATACTCTTTACTTTTGTTTCTCATCAGCTGAGGTGTGTGTGTGTGTATGTCGGGGTGTATAACAGATTGTGTGTTGAGGGTGTATAGACACATATGAGGGTGTATAACAGATTGTGTGTTGTGACTTTCTTGATTAAGAGGAAAGAGATTCTCACACTTATCACACTTCAGAGTTATTTGCTTTGAAAGGGATTATATAGGTTATGAGTCATTGTTGTCTGGGAAAATATTTGTTTGTTCAAAATGCCTGTTGGTTTTGATTAAAATAACCCTCTTTTCCTTTATACCTTCTGTGGAATAAGCAGTGGGGTACGCGTTACAAGTAACATGTTATTTACTATCCCTGTTGTAGTATTATTCATAAGTAAAAACCAACAAGATTTTTTTTTCACCATGTTTCCAAATTCTTTTACATATTAAAAGTTTGTTTTATAGCAAAAGCAGATAACTCCAACAGTCGTTTTTTGGCAAAAGCAGATAACTCCACATTTCATGTTTTAGAGTTTTAAAAAACACTTGCTTAATCTTTGTAATCTCCTCAGATGACAATGTAGATGCCTGACAAACATCATAAACTTCATATCATAAACTGTATGGATGTGATTACACGCAGTACACGGAGCTTTTCCCTCACTTTAATCGCAATTAATCGCGATTAATCGTTTGACAGCACTAATTAAAAACAAACAAGCAAGCCCTGCCCAGATTTCAAAAGTAACGTAACACATTACTTTCCATAAAAAGTAATTAACCTAATTAGTTACTTTTTTAGGGAGCAATGCAATATTGTAATGCATTACTTTTAAAAGTAACTTTCCCCAACACTGGGAATAAGTGGCATGTGTTGGACTATTGAAATGATGGGGCAAATCCTCTGCTTTGAGTTTAAGCTCGTTAGCTCCGCATTCTGCCCGCTTCAGATCAGAAAGAGATGAAATAGTGCGGTAAGATCACATTTATTTGAATTAATTAATTATAATTTATTTCTTATTAAGTAATTCTAAAATTTATCTATTAAGTAATTCTACTTGAATTAATTATTCAAGAGAGAGAGAGAGAGAGAGGTGACAGTTGCCTGTGTGAATTAGCCTACCTGCGTCTGTGCGTCTCTCCAGTAGGCTATTTAATCTATTTTATTAATAAAAGTCACATGGCAGACAGCACTAATTAAAAACAAACAAGCAAGCCCTGCCCAGATTTCAAAAGTAACGTAACACATTACTTTCCATAAAAAGTAATTAACCTAATTAGTTACTTTTTTAGGGAGCAATGCAATATTGTAATGCATTACTTTTAAAAGTAACTTTCCCCAACACTGGGAATAAGTGGCATGTGTTGGACTATTGAAATGATGGGGCAAATCCTCTGCTTTGAGTTTAAGGTTTTTCAGTCCAATTTAAATTCAGGTTCCAGTTTCTTCTGCACACATTATCCGAGTTAAAGGCTTTTGAAACAGTTTTCCTTACAATTGTGACTATCAACCAATACTTTAATATTGATAATGTAATATATTAACATATTAATTAAAAACAAATCTCAGATTCCCAGTTTATGTGGAAAAAAGTGTATTTTGAGTAGGCTAGCTTTTACAGTATTTGTACCTACTGGCTGTTGATTACCTATTATGTGGTTTGATTGCTGTATACACTGTTCATTTTTATGTGTTTTTGTTTTTTGTGATTTCAGTCCTGTCCAATTTTTTGGTATTGTACAACAGTCTTAACCTGCTTTTAACCCTTCAGTTAATGTGATGGCATAGCAGTTGCACTCCTAACTCACTAGTGTTTACATTTTCTGATCTGATGCACACACAAGCTTATATTCCCTCTTTCCTTCCTTCTACAGGCACAAGTTAACTTCAGTTTGGACATTTTGAACCGAGTGAAAGAGAAAAAACACTATACCAAAGGTAGGCCATTCTTATACATCCAGACAAATGCTGGTGTGCCTTCTTGTTATATACATTTTTGTCTACGTGCACAATAACAGAAATAATGTGAAAAAATCAAATATTGCACAACAATAGTGTGCTTGACAAAAAGGAAAATGTTCTGTGGCGACTGAAATGTCTCGTTAAACATTTGCATGACAGATAATGTCTGCAGGAAGCTTGGTGACTGGTTTTTATTTCTGCTGTCTTTTTATCCCCAAGCTAACAGGAAGAATGTCTCGACAAAGATGTCCATTGTGTACAATACATGTGTTTTCAGAGTAACCATTGTAAGTGCAGAAATGTCTGAGACGAAGAAAGTATAGGAAGTGAGGTTGAAAAGAATGATGGAGATTTGGGAGACAGAGTGGGTGAAGGTTTAGCATTCTGACACCACAGCTGGATTTTTGAGAATAATGTCAGGAATGAGTGCAACCATTTGAAGCCTTAGAGGATCTAGACAGCTCAGTGTTTAACATGGTGAATGAACTGGAATGTCTCTGGAAATTAGTTATTTTAAATTAGTTTGGAGTGTTTGTATGTGTATGTTTGCGTTTACTGTAAAGATTAATTTTCATTTTTCCCAGCTGCTAAAATGTAACCATGCCCTCTCTGAAGACTGAACTCCAGTCTTGACCCACTTAAAATTGGATCCAAATAGGAAGTACATTTTTACACTTGCATTAGACTTGCACCTGTGCTTACAACTTAAAATGAGTTAAAATAAAGACATTTTCAAATGCACAATTTTTATTTTCTTAACAATTTATAAATGTGTCAAGGATATAACACTTTCTCTTTTTTTCTAAATAATTTATTCAAAAACACACACACACACAAAACCGCAATTCATATTGACCTTTATATTGACCTTTTCTATGGTGAGCATGGTTTTTATTTTCTGAATGAAAAAAATTAATGTTTTATATATATTATATATTATTTTATATAATTTTTTAAACCTTAAGCTATGAATTAATTGTCAATAAAATCAATTGATTAAATTTAGTGTGACCAATAAGTCTATTAAAATATCAGAGAATTAATTTTCACAACATTTTTTTATGACAAGTAACCAATACAAGCATAGTTTGGGGAAAATGTTGTAAAATGTCACATGGGGCAATGTTCCCAAAACATGATATTTTTGAATGAATAATTTATGATTAAAAAAAAAAAAAAAACTTTAAATTGAGCTGTATATTGTGGCCGTTCATATTTTTCATTGAACAAAATACTCCTTGTACACCTGAATGATTACATATCACAAGACATAAAACTATTATGAAAAGAAGAAAGTTATTTCCCTTAACCAGGAAATTAACGTTCTTAGAATTGACAAGACAGTTGACCCTGAGAGGTCAAGTAAATATCTACAGCGGATCTAAAATATTCATAATTAATTATAACTAGTTATGATTAATTATTCATATTTCCCATGAGCTGATTCGTTACAAAGCACTATGGGAGAAGGTTGCACGCAAGGTGTGGAATAGAGGAAATGGATATCTGGAGTGCCATAGACACAAAGTTTTTTGACCAATCAAATTCACTTTCTTGTCATGCTTCCTTAACATACAGAAACGGAATAAATTATGTACAAATATGCACAGTATGCACATAAAACATATTCTAAATATAATCAGTATATACACAGATACATGATGGGGGTTGGTGTTAAAGAATTGGTATATTTTTGAATGAATAATTTATGATTAAAAAAAAAAAAAAAACTTTAAATTGAGCTGTATATTGTGGCCGTTCATATTTTTCATTGAACAAAATACTCCTTGTACACCTGAATGATTACATATCACAAGACATAAAACTATTATGAAAAGATTGCTTTTTTTTTTTGCCGGCGATGCAGTGTTGCCAGATATTGATACTAAAACAAAAAATAAATAAAAATAAACCGAAATTATTTCCAATCTTTTGCAAATAAGATAAGATAAAGATATCGCTGACTCTAAACTGCAACTTCCTACTTTATTAACTTTCTAAAGCGTTAAATTAAGTGGAAAAGACAAGTCCAAAAATGCTTGGATCTGGCAACACAGAGGCTGCACCCGCGCCCTCACTCACAACTCTCTCAAGCCTCGTTCACTCCGCCATCGTCTCACAGCGATCATTTTCATAACGGGGATGCTAAACATTCTTGCAAACTGTCTAAACTGAATTATACATGTCATGCAGGCATTCATATGAGGAGTTTAACAGCAAACTAGTCATTCAAGGAACACATTTTATTTTTGAACATGAAAAATTTACCGAGGTCCGGACCTCGGTGGCCTCATAGCTGGTTACCGGCCTGCACACGCATGCGTCGTGGTACTCTCTTGAATGGCGGTGGAGACTGACCCAGAAGAGAAGAAATCATTGAACAAAGCCGTTATTTTCGTTTTCTTTGCACACAAAAAATATTCTCGTAGCTTTATAAAATTACGGTTGAACCACTGATGTCACATGGACTATTTGAACAATGTCCTTACTACCTTTCTGGGCCTTGAACGTGGTAGTAAGAAGGGTTTGAGACTTTTGTCATGTCTGTGTGTCCAGCCTGACACGCAACAGGCCCTCACAAAGTTAGCAGCTGGCCAGTGCCACACAGTCCAACTGTGCATGAAGTGCAAAATAGGAACAGTCAAATAGTCAAATGCTCTCCGTTGTCTGTGGAAGCTGTAGCGTCTGGACCACTCAAACACACAATATATATTTTGTTTTTATATTTAACAAATACTCTGTAACCCTTGAACAAAGCCGTTATTTTCGTTTTCTTTGCACACAAAAAATATTCTCGTAGCTTTATAAAATTACGGTTGAACCACTGATGTCACATGGACTATTTGAACAATGTCCTTACTACCTTTCTGGGCCTTGAACGTGGTAGTTCCATTGCTGTCTATTCAGGGTCAGAAAGCTCTCGGATTTCATCAAATATCCAAATATGTTTTCTGAAGGTGAACAAATGTCTTTTGGGTTTGGAATGACATGAGGGTGAGTAGTTAATGACAATTTTCATTTTTGGATGAACTATCCCTTTGAGTATTGGAATATTTGCAATGTATAATTTTTATGAGAAACAGTACTGATCATAAAACTGTCCCATTAACTGTCATCTTCAAACTTCAGAAAGAACTTTAAAAAAAAAAAAAGTAGTTTGTCCCTTCAGGCTTTTCTGAAGTCTTGTAACTACATTTTATAAAAGTGACAGCTGCATTGATTCATTGGGCCTTTTTGTCTATAGTTAACAGACTGTTTAATTGAGTGAGTCTGAGATAAAAGCAGTTGCTGGTTTGCTGCTGTATGTTCTGCTTTATCACAGTTATGTCTATGAAATACTTGCTTATTACATGGATGGAGGACAAAACTATAGGGTTTGCTGACATTTATGTCAGAGTTGTCTGCATAGTGGAAGGCTCTGCATGCATCCATTAAATGAATGTTCTTTATTGCAGATCAAAGCCCCAAAAGCCCACCCTTAGTGCCGCCCATGAGTGACAGTAGGCACAGACTAGTGGGCATAATGTGTGTGATGGGATGCAGTAAACAAGCAGTAATTATGTTGTAGAATATGACGGGTCATAGATCCCCACTATAATTGTTCAAGTGCAGAAGGGTTGGGAAGGGTTTCATTTCTAATGTTACATGATGTAGGAGTTCAACGGTCTGATGGCCTGCAGAAAGAAGGTATCCTGCAGCGAGCTGGTGCGAGACCTGATGCTGCAGCACTGTCTGTCTAATGGAAGCAGAGAGAACAGTGACTGGAGTCTCTGGCGATACTTAAAGAGCCGCAGTTCCTGACTGAACTCATAAATAGCTCATTCTAGGGCCATCAGATATCTGGCGTTCCTGGGCTTTCTTCTGTCTTCATAGACTAAGTACTAATTTCTTCATTTTTAATATTTCCTCTTATGTATCAGTTTCAGACTCTGCAGTATGTTGCAGGTGATTTTGTTTTTTTGCATGGTGCAGCATGTTTGGGTGTTCAGACTTTTGACTTCACATTTCAATCCACCTGGGACTGCAGTAAAGGGGATTGCTTGCTCATCTTGCCCTGAAGCTATACACACGTATTTCAGACACGTACACACACACATAGAGCAAAGAGAGTGAGATACTTGACAGTCAGCACTATCCGTAAACATGTGCCTTTGGTTTTTGTTTGAGCCAGGATGTGGCAGATATATACGGATGAAGAATAGCAGAGTAGAACATCTGGAGGATACAGCTCATGGAACCACTTTAATCTACTTTTATTTTTCCGCTGAAGAAAGAAAAATCACATACCAAGTGTGTTTTTAAAGACCAATCAAAATTGTCGACGTTTCTGAACTCCACACAGAGAGCATTCATTATGCAGACTCTCTGTTTTAAGGCTCGCATCAAAAGCTCTGATGTAAGATGAGGAAAATAGTTTCAAATGAGTGGGTTGCCTCACGGGAGCTGACATATTAAGATCGTATGACCAGCTCACTACTCACTTTATCTCAGTAACCCTCATTATTGGACACTTTTGCTTGTTGCACCCTTATATTATTCTAAACCCATATGACTTCTTTCTTCGGTGGATTTTTTTCCATAAAACAGTTCATAGTGAACACAGCTGTTAAGCTCCAAATATGACAAAACATGCCACCATTAAAATATAGTTGTTAATATTCTTCTCCTAATATCGACTTAGGTCAGCAACTTTACAGATCTTCTTTATGCACCAAGAGCTTGTAACACTCCAAAGAGAAAGGAAAAATTGAAATCGCATCATATGACCCCTTTAAAAGTTTGCAAATATCCTTGTTTCAACCCTAAATTAACATATCTGGTAACAAATGTCCCCTAAAGTTTCCTGCATGTTTGCTGGAAGTCCTCCAAATGTCCAACAAAAAATTTAAATTCTCTCTTAATTTTCTTATTCTTATATCACCCCAGATGTATATGACTTTCCTTCATCAGTGGAACACAAACATTATTTTCAGGGA